AGAATGGGGTTTGTTAATAAGGGTAAGACAAGTGTTATAGTTCATAATGGTCTGCCAGTAGGAGGTGAGGAATTTATACGTGAAAGGGCCATTCAATCAAATGGAAAAATGTTGCTTGTACTCGATGACTTAATGGTTGGGATGAATCAAAATCTATTAGATACAATATTTACGAAAGGATCTCATAATTGGAAAATGAGTGTTATTTTAATAACACAGCATTTATTTAGCAAAGAATTGAAAATAGCTCGTAATAATTCACACTATTTGCTGTTAATGCGAAATCCTGCTGGAGCCTTGCAGATAAGAACGCTTGCTTCCCATTTGTTTCCTTCACGCTCAAAATATTTCTTAGAGGCGTATTCGGATGCTACTAAAGACAATTTTGGATATCTTTTAGTTGATATACATCCCAGCATACCTGAGTTGTTAAGACTTAGAACACATATATATCGTGATGATGAGAGTAAAACAATAGTTTATATTCCAAAATGAAGAAAAAATTTTATACTAGCGATCTAATACAGCGAAATTCAAATTTTTTGCGTTCGATTTTTGATTGTTCGAAGTCGAATAATGTATTAAAGAATTTATTAAATAAGGCTTCAGATGAACAATTGTTATGTTTTGTGGAAATTTGTTTTAATTTATTAAAAGGACGCTTACCTTTTCATAAAAATAGAATTACAACTTTGCAAAAACATGCAAATTTGTTGCGTAAAATAAGTAGATCCAGAAGTGCCCCATCTACGAGAATTTTATTGCAAAAAGGAAATGGAATCCCTCCGGTTGCTGGGCTTCTTGCTAGCCTTATTATCCCAATAATTACTGATAAAATTTTAAAATAATATAAATAAAAAATTATTGATGAAATAATACAGTTATGAAGAATGCAAATAGAATGTTTCTAATCCCCGAAGACATTTATAAAAATATAATTGGGGGTTTCGATGAAAATCAAGAATTACTTTCAAGCGGAGATGGGACTGCTATAGGTTTGATAAAGGAACGTTTGCAAAATACTAGTGCCAATAAAGAAATATTAGATCCTACAACAAGGGCAATTCGTTATGAACAAGATTTTAAAAGGTATAATAAACTTTTAAAAGAGAAGGAGGAAAAACCTATTGATATTAAATTGAAAAATTTTGAAGAAATAGCGGATGTGGTTTCAAAAAATATCGACCACAAACCTCAATTAGCAGCAATTGCTGATCCTATTAAAAAACCACCCCGTAAAGTTATAATAAAAAAGAAACTACATAAAAAATCATTAGGTAAAGTTGGTATAAGGAGACAATATCCTGTTCAAGATATTAAAGTTGAAGCTGATGAAAGTGAGGTAAAAGATAAAAGTGATGAAGAGGAAGATGAATTTTTATCGGCAGATACCGATAATGAGCCTAGTCCAAAAGAACAAGCATTGAAATATATAAGACAACATGCCGGTGAATTAGGTGTTTTGCCAAATGGAAAATTAGCGAGAAAAATAGGTAGCAAAGATTCATTCATTACAAGTAATATAGAAGATCTTATAAATCATATACTTAAAAATAAGAATAAGCGTAAAAGACCAATTCCAACTGGTTACGACGAATTTCTTCGTAGAATAAATAAACATACAGTTTTACAAAATTTACTTTTTCCGTCGAAAATTACTAATAAACAAGAAGGTGAAGGTGGTTGTTTCAAACAAGTATTTTCTTATAAACCGTCCTTATGGCAGTAGCGTTAACTACTAAAAAGATAAAAATACTTGATAAATTATATAAAAATGTTAATTCCTCAACATGTTTTACCTCTCTTGAACCGCTTTTGCTATCAGCTAGGAAAGTTGATAAAAATATTTCACGACAAGATGTCAAGGACTATCTATCAAGTCAAAGTGTCAATACTCTTCATAGAAGAGTTGTTAGAAAATATAAAAGAATGCCAACTCTAGCTCCCGGACTTCATACAGAATGGCAAGCAGATTTGAGTGTTTTTAATCGTATATGTAAACAAAATCAAGGATACAAATATTTATTAGTGTGTATAGATACACTCAGTCGTCAAATATTTGTCGAACCGGTAAAGAGTAAACATAGTGATAATATGGTAAATGCATTTAAAAAATTATTTTCTCGTACTAAAGTCATTCCATGGAAATTATTAACTGATCAAGGACTTGAATTTACTGCTAAACAAGTACAAAAATACTTCAAGTCCTTGGATATGGAACATTTCTCTATGCTTACTTCACCTCTGTGGCATGCGGGGATGGCAGAAAGAGCGAACAGGAGCATTAAAGAAAGATTATATAGGTACTTCACAGAAAATAAAACTTTAAAATGGGTGGATGTTATCCAAAAAATTGTTAGCTCAATAAATAACTCATTTAACTCCAGTATAGGTATGCGCCCAACTGATGTCAATTTTAAAAATGCTGAGAAATTAAGGCAATTACTAAAGAATAGAGCAATTGAGACACACGCCTCTTCTTCTCAATGGAGAAGGAAAAAGTTTTCAGTAGGAGATAGAGTGCGAATCGAAAAATATAAGCATATATTTCAAAAGGGCTATTTGCCAAATTTCACAAATGAAATTTTTATTATTGATAAAGTTCGCTTAGTTCCCTATCAACCTCCTACATACAAAATTAAAGACTCTAATGGAGAACAGATTAGGGGGTGGTTTTATTCTAATGATTTAATTTTAGTAAAAGAGAATTCTAAAAAGGATGAGAATTTATATGACATTAATAAAGTTTTTAAAAAAAGGAAACGCGATGGGGAAGATTATGTTTTTGTCAGTTGGAAGGGTTATGGTCCGGAACATAACAGTTGGATACCCGCTAATTCTATAACTTGGAGATAATTATACATAAATTAAAATTTAAGCTTTTTAATTTGTAAAAAAAAATGACTTCATTTTATATTATTATTCCGTCTAACACAAACATAGAAGGAAATAGAACAAATTCCTTCCGAGTTAGGTTACCTCATAAGTTGCAATTTAATTCTGAGTGGCATGTCGGCCTAGCCGTTATGGTTTATCCACACTCCTGGCCGTCGTTAGGTACTAATAATGAACAAACTGTAACTGTTTATTGGAAAAGTGGGGATGTGGTTCAATTTTCTGTTCCTTCCAATACTTTAACTAATCCCCAACATTTAAAAGATAATTTAGATAGATCCTTAAACAAAGGAAGTGAAGCACTTGTTGACAAATTTCGTAACGTTCACATTGAATATACAAATAAATTAAAAGAACTTCGCACGCAGGCTAAAGATAAGTATAAACGTTTAAAAGAACTCTATCAGAAAAGGACAGAGCCAGTATCTAACGTGACTACAGCAGAACACGTAAGTATTAGTGAAGAAACCGAAGTTCCTAGCTTAAAAAGTGAAGATGAAATTTTTACTGATTTGATGAATATCGAGAATTTAAAAATGCCTGATGATTTCAAACGAATTATTTCGGTAACTAACGAAGTTGGATTTGACCCTTGGATAAGAGTATTTCGTAAACCTAGATTAGCATGCAATTTTGAATTCCATAGTTATAAAAATAGGTTTTCCTTGCACATCGATAGTGAATATGTAGAAAAAATTGAATTAACTGAGCAGCTTGCATATATCTTAGGGTTTGATAGGCAAATTTTAACTGAAACTTGTATTGCAAATTTTATGCCTGATATGCGAGGAGGTGTATCCTGCTTCCACGTTTATGCACCTGGATTAATTGAACCAATGGTCATAGGCGATGTTACAGCACCAGTGCTTAGAATTGTGACAATTAGAGGTAAACAAGATGAAATAATTGAAGAACAATTTTTATGTGTTCAATACCATAAGCTACTTGTAAAAGAAATTTCTGAAATTTTTATTGAAATTAGAACTTCTAGTGGGACATTAATGCCATTCCAATATGGAACATGTACATTAACTTTACATTTTAAAAAGGCTACATACTTTTAACAATGAATAACCTTCAAGTTGATAAAATATTAAAAAGAAATATTGTTACAAAAAGATTTTATATAGGATGTTTTGCTTCAGACTGTATTCCTTATAGGAGTAACTTTTTTCCGTTCTGTGTCGTAGTTAACACAGATCCTAGCAATTTATCTGGAACCCATTGGATAGCATTATTTTGCAATTCAACTAATAGTATTGAATACTATGACTCGTTAGGTATCTGGCCACCGATAAGTTATCATATTAGAACCTATTTAGATAAGTTTAACAATGTTCAATTTAATTCTGTTATGGTACAACAACCATTTTCTAGTACATGCGGGAATCATGTTATCTTTTTTCTTTATATGCGCTGCTTAGGTTTTTCAATGAATAAAATCATTTCATTACTAAAAGGAATTAATGCTGATAAATTTGTATCTGAGTTTATTACTACTCAGATATTTAATATAAATAGATGACTTTAATAATATACTCATAACATACAAAATGCACATTGATTTTGATCCTGCAAATATTAACTGGTCAACATTGACTGAACAACCCAATCAATGGGGCGGTTATAATGTTTTCCGTGGCGTTCCTTACCAACGAGGTAATGGATTGGGGTCAGTTTTTAGAAGTTTTCTTCGTTATTTAATCCCGATTGGTAAAGAAATTGGTAGCGCTATTGGAAGACAGGGTTTAGAATCCGGTAATCGAGTTTTAAGCAATGTCTTAGAGGGAAAAAATCTTAAAGAATCTCTTGTTACTGAAGGTAAATCAGGCTTGAAAAACTTACTGCAAAAAGCAGCTGAAAATGTTGATAAACAAAGTGGAAAAGGTTTTGATTTTAAACGATACAAAAATATAGAAAAGTCTCCTGCCATCGGCCAAATGAATAACGCAATACCGGAACTTAAACCAAAAACTATAAATAAACATCCATATTCTCGAATCGGTCCTCCTAATTTTATTCCCAATTTCAAAAAGAAATATTCTAAAAAATCTACCAAAAAATCCCGTCCCCAAAAACGATTACGAGTAGACACGTTAGGAACATACTAAAATGAGCTGCCCAAAACAAATTAATGAAAATAGCCCGTTAGCACTAAATAGTGCATTAAGTATTTTTTCTGTACCTCCTACAAACGTTTCTGTTGTCCGATCCTTTTTTAGAGAAATTCTTCCTCTTAGTACAATAACACAAGATTCTCCGTATTTGTTTCGATTGTTCAGTGATAATCTTTGGACTGACTTGTCTCGAACTTATCTTTACCTCGAGTTATCAATTGAAAAGTTGGGAGCCAATGGCAAATGGGTTGATATTGAAGCAACAGATAATAACATTGGATCGATTCAAGGTGTTGGACAAACATTTGTTCAGCAGTTGAAGGTAACTGTTGGCAATACTGAAGTTTATGATAGTGGTACTCTTTATCCTTACAAAGCATATATTACTAATGAGTTGTCATTTCCTGACAACGTTAAATCGCATTTTCTTGCATCTATTGGATATTATAGAACCGAAAAACATGATGATCCTACAGATGATGGTTTCAAAAATCGTTGCTCTGTTTTTGCAAACGGTAAACGCTCACAATTCCTTTCGCGCCTAGATTTTGATTTGGGAAATCAAGAATTATTTCTCCTTAATAATTTAGATATTCACTTTAGCATTTACAAAAGTAAGGATGCTTTTATATTACAAAATATCAAAGAAGGCGATAATAACCAATATAGACTTTATGTGCACGATGTTAAATTATTTTCGAAAATGGTTGAAGTTCAACCATCACTTAACATGAACATTTATAAGACTCTTGAATCTAAACCTGCTACGTATGCTGTTCGCCGAACTGAAATAAAATCTACTTATCTTACTTCAGGGCGAACTGAAATTGAGTATAATGCCTTTAGCTCAGCTATACCTCGACGCATTACAGTTGCCTTAGTTTCAAATAAGGCCTTTAATGGCGATATTGCGCTTTCCCCATTCAATTTCAAACCTTTTGATATTAGGGATATCTCTGTTCATACTGGGGGGCATATTTATCCTATGGTCGCTTACAAACTAAAGTTTACCCAAGACTTATTTGTTAGAGCTTTCGTGGACATGTATGAAGCTCTTGGAATGGCTAATTCAGATCGTTCCATTGATATTTCATTGTCACGATTTAAAGATGGGTGGACCTTTTTTGTGATACCTTTGACATCGACACTTGATGACTCTTGTGGTTTTGAGCTTCTCAAAAGTGGAACTACTAGTGTTCGATTAGAATTTAATACTCCCATTCCTGCTGGAGGTGTTGAAATGATTATTCTAGGCGAATTTGATCAAATGATTATGATTGATTACAATAGACATATAGTTACAGATTCCAATCTAGGTTGAAAAGTTGTATAAATAATGATAATTTAAAATATATTGATTTTACAAATGCAAAATATTTCCACCACTACACAAAATATAACATTTGAATTTTTAAAAATTGCTAGCACGAAATTACAAGATAATGCTCTGGATCCCACTGTAGCATATGGGATACCTTTATTACTAGTACTTCATTTCATTATTCTCCCTATGATATTAATATGTTGGATTTTACTCCTTCGAGTTCTGCGTAAATTAGGATTCATAACTTCTGCTGAAGAATTCAACATTGCAAAAAATATAAGCGAGATACCTTTAGAGACCTTGTGTCGAACTAAAACACACTTTTCGCTCCCAATTGAGCGGGTCGCCTAGCGAATTAGAAAAAAACAATGCAATGAATCGGCTCTAGAAATCCATTAAAATAGCTGTTACCTATTGAGTGCGGTCAGGTTGAGAGCCAAAGGTTTTTATAAATAAATTATCGATTTATTAGCCGTCGGCACCACTCGACTCGGCCCCCGCTTCAGGCATCGTTTGATACCCTTTAATGCCCAGAATCGCGTTACGATACAATTTAGCCTAGCCGCTGCACTACTCCATTAAAACACCGCAAGCCCCAAAAGGATTGGGTTTGCAAATTATCGATTGATTAGAAACAAGAGGGCCTGAAGGGACTGGCTATTTGGTGAGAGAAAAAATTTTTTCTCTGACTTCTCTCACCCGATAGCCAGTCTCTTCAGAGCCCTCTTGTTCTAATCAATCGATAATTTAATAATGGTAATATAGTAGTTACATGAATAACTATAAACTTAAATGTAACCAGACGGGCGGGGTTTCTTTATTTTTTGGAAGTTGGTTTTACCAACTATATAAAACTTTTGTTTGGGATGTGCTATGATATAAAAGGCAAACGCTGAAATCAGTTGGTGTGTTAGTTAATCCAGTGTAAATATTGGTACTTTGCAAATACCCTTAATACTATGGTTTCCTCATGAGTTAAAAATTCATAGCTATCACTTTTAGACTAAAAGACAATACTTAACCATAAGTGTTACCAGACAAATCGTTACAAAATATATATTATATTAACATAAATTGGCTAAATTTCTAGAAATTTTTCTTTCATATGTCTCTTCAAGGTCGGGCAAATAATTTTTTGAAAGTTGGGAATGCCAACTAAATTAATGTGGTTGTTGGATACTATGTGGAAAGTTAAAGGCAAATGTAACAAGCGGATTGAATTATATGTATACATTTATTGAATTTTAATAATTATTTAATCCGTTTAACTCAAGTTGGGCTCAAAACTTTGCTTACACCCTAAGCATAAAAAATATAAAAACTAGGCCCGTATCTTTACTCAGAGTCGATATATTTAATTGTTAAATATTAAATAACTTGTTTTAAGTTTTATAAAATTTCAATAATTTAGAGCTTTACAGAGTTCAATTTTCGTTCGTTGAGCAGCGTATTTTTGGAAGCCTGAACAACGTTCATGGCTATTTATATATTGTAAAACGCCAAAAAGCCCAATTGTATATATCCAAGACACAAGACTCCCCAAGACCCAATACCGAAATAAACCCAAGAAAAGTCTCAGGCAATACTAAAGACCAAGAGTCTTAGAAGTCTCTAGTTTTTTTCTCTACCATTAAGAGTAGAGGTAGGAAAAATCTCTTTTGCAGGATCCTGTAACAGGATTGGGTTTTAAAATTTCGAACAGGACGGATCCGGCAGAATTAATCCTGAAAATCCTGGAATCCAGACAATCCTGAAAACTGAAAAAAGGCTGTGCCGACCTCTAATTAAAAGATAACCCAAGTCATCCCCCCGTTTCTTTCTCGATAGATTTTGATATTTTACCAGAAAATAGGCAATACTCTTAGCTAATTAATTTATTTATGACTAGGGATGGGGTTTATAAGGATATAGGCTTATAAGGCCATTCAATTGAGGAGGCCATTCAAATGAAGGCGGCCATTATATTTTTAATTCATTCAAGAAGAGTACCATTGAAAGAATAAACCAATTAATGGCCCGTATCTTTCTCAGTCTAGATACTTAATTGTTAAATATTGAATAAATTGTTTTAGGTTTTATATTAAATTTAGATAATTTAGAGCTAACGCATTTCTAACAATTTTTCCGCTCAGTATTTTTTGGAAGCCTGACCAGTGTTCATGGCTATTTATATATTGTAAAACCCCAAAAATCCCGCCCCATTGTATATATCCAAGACACACGACTCCCCAATACCGAAATAAACCCAAGAAAATCTCAGGCAATACTCGAAGACCAAGAGTCTTCGAAGTCTTCTGTTGTGTAATATTGTTTGCATAATCCTTAATACTTAGGTTGAGAAATAGATAATGAATCCCCGTAAGTTAAATAAGATAAATGATGAATCCCCTTCAATAAATATAAACTTTAACAGAAACGGTAGATATCTTATATTGTTGAATGTTGGAACTTCTGACAAATTATTCCTATGATTCTGATTTTCTGCCAGAAAATAACAACCCTTTTAGTATCAAAAAATTACAATTTAAATAGCGAAAAAGCCACAATAAAGGTCTCAGTCAATTCTCATGACCAAGAGTCTTCGAAGTCTCTACACCTTTTAAAGGTACCATTAAAATGAAAAAACCAAGTCATTGCCCAGTTGCATTCTCGATAGTTTCTGATATTTAGCCAAAAAATAGGCACTTCTCTTAGCTAATTAATTAATTTAATACTAGGGATGGAACTTATAAGGATATAACATGTATCAAAAGCATTTTATTTAACATTTTCTGTACAAAAATGAAAATTTTTCCCGTTAAAAATTTTCGTTTTCGGTCCATATTTGACACATATTTTTGGATTTTAGTCCATATTATATGTCCATATTTTTCGATTGATAGTCCATGTAAATCCCATTACTATTTATCACTTTTAAATTTTAGCCTAAGTCTTGCTTGGCTTCCAAAAATTTACAACGATGTCTTCCCATTGACGAGTAATTTTCTCATGAATCAGACCTACGTTTCTATCCAAATTAATAAAATAATTAATACCTTTTAAATAACAATTGAAACTGAACATAAAAAATTCTAAAATCCCGTCCCAGAAGGAGGAGAGAAAAAAAAATACAAGAATTTGCTAGAATCATAACTAGGGATCGGATTTATATTGTAAAGAGCGGTCTGGATCTGGATCCAGACCTTGATTTTTCCTGGATTCTGGATCCAGGTCAAGGCAATTTTCAGCGTTCCTTGATTTTTCCTTGACTCAAGTTCAAGAATCTGGTCAAGGTATATCCCCTTAATCGTCTAAAATCGACTTATTTTCCTCGTTATCCGTTCAGATTCTTCTACAAATCCACTTAAACGCTCAATATCCCTTCAATTCCTTTAATATACCTTTAAGTACCCGTATATCCCACTTAATCCCCAGATATCCGTCTAAATATAAAAATCAAGAGTCAAGGCTGGATCCAGGCAAAAATAATCCTTGATTTTTCTTCACTCAAGGTCAAGAATCTGGTCAAGGTCCTTACTTAAAATCAAGGTCAAGGATCAAGGTCAAGGTTTTTTGAAAATCCCGCTCTCTATTATATTGAAATAAGGCACAAAAACGACAGTAGTCATGAACTACCCAATGTCTGACCATTGAGTTCAAATAGAAGAAAAACAGAAGTGACCAGTGATAGATCTGATGAAAAAATGGAGAGTTCGCGGGCAGGTTCGCTTCAGCTATTTATTTAAATATAAATCCGATCCCTAATCATAACGAAATTTACTCCAATAACTTTAAAATTAATAATGAGCAGATGATCAAGTAATACTGTATTTATTTTTGGAAGATAAGGAAGCCATCTAAAACACGTCTTGATCATAGGCGAGAAAGGGCTTTAGGCGAAGAAAAGATATTTAATATTCTAATTGTAAAGACAAAAGAAAATTCCATTTTACAAAATAAATATTATTTCATTTAAATTTTTTAAAATGTATAAGAATAAAACGATGGTACATTTTTAGCCAGAAGATTTTTGTCTATTTTGGTAGGTTGGATAGTCCAGCTAAAATTTAAACTAAACATGCATAAAAGTACATAAAATATTAGTTTGAACAAAAGCTCAAAATTTCTTAGATATATGTTGGATATTAATCACAATGTCGGGTACAACAACATATATAATATTTTAAACTTGAATAAGATTGAAAACAAATTACTTCAGTGCCTTCAACATGGTTTCATCTGTTATTTTTTGGAAGTTGGTGATACCAACTAAAAATTATGAATGTGACTAAAAAGGATCTGATTAGCCATTGGAAATATATTCCTTATGATACAGCTATTTTTATATTTAGGCAAGGGTATATTTGCAGACTGATCACTCTCCCGTTGAGCAAAAATTTTTATGGAGAGAATAACATGGAAAAAGAAAATTCAAGGAAAAGATTGGCTGTGGGAGGGAAACAACATAAGTAAAGTCGTAAGCGTACCCAAATAGATTTAAAAATAATAGAAGACAATGACAATTTATAAAAAAACAGTCAAATGGCAAAATAAATGTTATTTGAATTTAAATTTATAAAATAGATTGAAAAAATAAGATTTGTGGCAATTAGCGAGGGAAGAATATACAGAATTTAAGGTTTTCGACAGGACAAAATACAATTTTACAAAATAAATATTATTTCAATTTAATTTTGAAAATTGTCTAAAGATAAAATGAAAGTCGATCCGCTTTCTCAAAACTTTTCTCTTTATTTTTGGAAGTTGGTTAATCCAGCTAAATTTTCGCCGTACCTATTACGTATGAGGTACATTAAACATTCACAACCGAATCATAATCTAACACAAATAGATGGACAACATAAAAAATAAGTTTGGAAGCGTAAACATTTCATTGGACGCGTAAAGGTAGATTTTATAAAAACTGTTCAGTTTTGAAAAATAACATTTATTTCAATTTGAATTTGTAATATGCTTAAACAGAAAATAGGAATTTGACCCTTCTTCTAGCGTTTTGATCTTATTTTTTGATAGTTGGATAGTCCAACTAAAATTTTGAAGTGTAATTACTAGGGGCGGATGTTTAGGTCGTAAAAACCTTAAAATATGTACCAAAATAAGTTGTATAAAATGCTAAAATAACGACAAAACTAGGAAATCGTTTGTAAAAAAAGTCGACATAATGGGCAAGAAAGGCAAAAATGCCGAGTAATTTCTATTTTAGTCCATAAATTTCAGCGCAAAAAGTAACTAGAGTTTGGTTGATAAATTATTGGAAACTAAAATTTTTAACTTTAATTATACGGAGAGATTTTTGCCTAAGCTTTGTTAGGCATCCAAGAATATGAAAAGGAAAAGACAATAGGACGCAC